ATAGATGCGCACCACGTTTAAGGTTATTTTTTGCTTTTTGAAAACGTGGATTTTTATATTAATTTTTTAATCTACTATAATTATTCAATATCCGGCTTATGTGAATGATGTGTGACAGAATCACAGTAAACTCTTTTTTTTGAATCTACCGGGACCAGGAAAAAAGCTTTTTCGCCCCAACATTTTCTTGAAACGAATTTGCTAAAAAATTAATAATTCCTCATTCCACGAGGATTTTGCCTCAGAATACCTTTTATCTTCCTCGAAAATATTTAATGTGAACCTATGCACTCACCAGGCATGTAGATTCGCACGCCGCTGGAAAGCGTCTAGAAACCTCCGCGGGTCCGGGGATGTACTCCATCAGTACTTCAGGGCTCACGCAGGTACTGCGGACAGCTCACGAGCTTGCACGCAAGAGACGCTTTCGCAAATGAACCCATCAAACGTCAGCAACAAGACAAATCCCGAAACCCTGTGGCAAAAGTTGGTATAACATGAAATCAATAGCAAAATCAAGGCAGCAATTTCCTTCCTTTTTTTTTAACTCACCGTGTATATTTACACTCATCGAAGGTCGTGCTGCGTTGCTCGTTCAAAATGGCGCGTGATCAAAGAGGCGGCTTTGATTGTCAGAGGTGCGGTGCAAGGGTTTGATCGGGAAGAAGTCAGACCTAAAAGTCTCCAGAAGTTGTTCGGCAAAGATCCTGTTTTGAAGTCAATGTTTCCTTGTGGCGGGGATCTTCGGAAATTTCTCAATGAAGCCTATGAAGTTGCAAACGCAACTGAGTTTTGAAAATTTTAAAAGAAGAAAATAGAAAGGGTCCTTGGCATCAGGACATTTGAAAGATGGAATACAATTTGAAGGAAATAGGGAACATTTCAAGGTCATGGATAGAAATCGGTGCAACACTTTGGGAATGTGGAAGGAACTTAACAAATGCTTGACATTTTCTTTTATTATATGCTTATTCACAAAATTCATACAAAGCTTACATAAAAAATGAGTTTATTTCAATATTTCTGAATGAATTGGTTTGGCTTTCATTTTTAAATGTTCTCCTTCAGTTTCTGGGACTTCAGTAAATATGAACCCATCTTTTACTCCTCAAAACATTCTTCCCAGAAAGATTTAAGATGCATCTAGCAAATCTGAAAGCTGAAAAAAATATGCTTCTGTTAGGCAGTCATTGTCTGATAATAAGTGCGAAATGCTAAACTGGACATCTTCATTCTACAATATTTGAACTCACTTCCTTCCCTGATCTGTTGTGGGGGTTTTACTTAATTTGCAAGAAAAACTTCAAAATTCAGAGAATTTACAGATGACTTCAGTTACTTCTTGATGGGCAAATTTTCTTATAAAAAATACATTGAAAAGAATTTTTCTTGCACTCAGTAATGCATACACTGTATATTGTGACTCACAGCAAAGAAGCAAGATGCAAGAATTCACAAGCAAAAGCTCTCTGCATAATGAAGTACTGTATCTTCATAGACATAAGAATGGATTTATAAATAAGTTCACACAGCAAGCTTTGACATCAGTGGCTTTCTCAATCACTCAGCACATGCTTTTGCATCATGGACACACAGATTATTGAGCAACCCTGTCTGGCAAGTTATTGTTAGCCTCACATCAGAGTATTTATAATTGATACTTTCATGGTTTTACAGCGTTCTAGCATATGTTCTCAGAAACGTTGCCAACAAAACTTCAGAATATTCCAGCACTTTCCAAAAATTAATAAGGGAATGATTTTCTCAAAATTCACATGAACACATAATATCAGAGTATGAAAAAAAACGAAGTTCAAAATGAAGATTTAGTGTGAAATCAAAATTTTGTTTCAATTCTGAATTTTAAATGTATCAAGCGCCTCTTCAATGAGGTCCTTGATTTGCTTTTTTGGATCATTCCAATACTTGGCCATCAAATCTGACCTCACAATTGTAAAGTTCCACTTCTGTGTTTTGACATTTTCATTGCAATTCGATACATAAATTCTTCCGGTATTTTGATTGTGATCTAAACACAGCATATGAAGCCCATGTGTTATCATTTGCTTTCCCTGTAAAAAGGGAATCAGATTTTTTTTTTCACCATTAACATGGAATTCTTTATTTCTTTTATGATATACCACATCATATTTCCAAAGCTGGTTTCCACCAAGGCAATGGCATGTATCTAGAAGAACTGGTTCTCCATCATTGCCAGACTCCACATCCATGCACAAGTTCCACTCTTTTAGCCTGATGTCTTTGTAGTATGTCAAAGAAAGCCACTGAGGATAAAATAAAGTCGAAAATGTATTTTTCAAAAATACTTTAAGCCTGAGTTGAATACTTCTGTAAAAGTGTTAAGCAGATGAGGGTTGAATTCACCACTGAACCAGAAAATTTGCATTTGGTTCATAACCAGGGCTGACAAAAAGTTTTGAAAATATATAAATATTCAAGAAAACTCATGGATTACATTAAATTTCAGTGAAGCATTGAATTACAATTCAAAGTGTCTCACATTTTAAATTAAATAGTGGGATCTAAAATTTGAGCCTTTCTTCAATCACCATTGGCCCATATATGGCCATTTCTGCAGAGATTGAGGAAGGGTAGCATTAAATTAAGGCTAATTCACAATGAAATCAAAAGAAAAGAGCAATATTTGTTCCAGGTGAAACATTCAGTGAGGGTGGCAACAATATCCCGAAAAAATAAATAGAAACAGAAGCATTCAATGAGGTAAACTTTTCGACATTATTCAAGTGCCAAAATGAGGATAAATTTTACTTGGCTGCCGACTGTTTCCAGATTTTTAGAAGCACAAATTTCCATAGAAAATTGGCCCCCGCGACTTTCGAGATTTGCATCGATGCAGAAATCAGGAGATGCCATGCTTCTCATCTGTTGGTATGTAAGACATGCTGCAGTACCATCAGTAATAATTGACAGTCTCGTCAAACCAAAATGTAATACATTGTTACCCCTGAGCTTCATAAAAGACCCAGTTTTCTTTATATGAGACCGTCCCCGCAACGAAGAAAATTGAAGCACAAAGTTACAATTTTCATTGCCAAAATTACATACAATGGAAATAAATTACTGTATATCATTAAAAATGCGAGATTTCCCACAGGTAGGTGCCAAAAATCCCACTACGCTTCACACTCGAAATTTACGCATCGCAAAATCAAAACGTGCGACATCTATGTCTAGTTAAAAAATATGACGAACGTAAGATATATCTGCGTTTCGTAGAAGACGTTCCTCTCAATTTTCACGAAGACTTTCGTCAAAGCGGAGAATTGAATTTTTGAAAATTACGAACACACCCATTTGTTTTGTAAATAACCCAAAATCGAACCGAGAAAAAACTAACCTCTCCTGCGGCAAAATCTGGAGGTTCAATCGGTGGATATTTTTCAGGCAAGTCAAAGGCTACTTCTTCCATGAACCACCGGAAAGACTTGCATTTCAGTCGCTCGCGAATAGCCTTTTGCTCAGACAAATTTCCAGGGTCGATGTTTCTATATTTCGGGCGAAGACGATAGAGAAATTCCGCGTACTCGTCCATCCAAACAACAGCAACTCTTTTGAAATTCTGCAAAAGAAGCAACCGTTCTATCAGAGATAACAGAAGCATTTCCCACGTACCACGTTTGTACAAGATCATGAAACATTGAAAAATGTCATTGCTCCTTCGCAGAATATTTCTTTGTGCAGTAACGTTTTTTTTTTCTTTAATAATTCAACAGATATTCCTCGTAGATATATCCGATTCAATATCGAATATGCTGTGTCCTAGCAACATATTCAGACAACTCACGAGAGGCTCAAAAAGCAACGGATTATACACCGAATTTTCTTCATTAAAATATAATAGATAAAACTTACTTGAAAATGTTCAGGCCATTCTTTTTTATTTGCAGAAATCGAGGCAACGATTATTTCCCGATATTAAAATGTATACTTCTTCCAACTCTCCAGTTAAAAGAGCAGGCCATGGTTTCACTAGTAATTCACTACGAAAATTTTTAGGAAAAACTATTGGGACGTAAGGCTTTGCCAGTAGGAAAACAGGAGTGCGATCAACATTTAATTTTGAAGGTAAAAAGGTACGCATCAAAACTAACTTTTCTTTTGTAGTCACCGATTCCAGGATTCGGGAATGGATTGAATTTCCGAAAAACGTGTCCGACTCTGGAGCATGGAGCATCCACCATTTTTCCGCCGCACTGCCAAATCTTTGCAAAACACGAAGTAATTCATTTAGTTTGATTCATAAATGCAATGAAAAAAAAATCAGCACCGTTGACCCTTTTCACTATACAGTATAGTTGATAACGTGAAACTCTTCATTTCAGTCATTTTTCCTACTTCACGTATGATTCAGAATAAATGTCATCCAAGCACACGACACAATAATCACGAGAAGGTAAAGTCAAGAAACAGCATCGATCGAGAATAAAACTCGATCATCAATTAAATGAATTAGGGTAGAATGTATCAAATTCTCGTGGTACTCAATTAAGTGAATGCGGTAATTTGTAATCTCTCTCTTAATTTGCTGGTTAAATCACTGGCCAGCAGTTCTCGAAAAAATCGAATTCCTTTTAAGTGACTATCCCATGGGTAAATGACTTCGTTGAGGCATTATTGAACCCTATCCGTCCGTCATCCTCCCAAGAGGAGAAATGAAGGATTTCCATAGATTTCCTGTTGGTCCGGAAGAAAATCAGCTGATTTCTCTCTGGCTCACCATAGGCCAAATCGTGGCAAATCCATGGGAAGCCATGACAACTTCCTTGGCCTTGAGAGAGGCTCAGGGAGTTATCCTGCCAAACCAGTTTTTTTTGGCCAGGCTCACAAGCACCAAAGCCCCGGAAACCAGTTTTGTCTTTATTTATTACTCCTCAGACATTCCTCATCACAGGGATCGACTCGATCTTATTCTTTTCAAATTCTGATCAGTAGGTTATTCGATTTATATGTACCTTTTTTACTTTTCTACAGCGCCTTATTGAGGCGTACTTTTCGTTGTCCTGAAGAGCGAATACAGTATAATATCTTCAGGTATTAAAGCATGAAAAATGTATACAGTATTTATAGCAAGTTCAAAATTATAAAAATACTGTAATAGAAAACCTTGAAGGATAGCTCGTATTGTTCGCCGCCCCAGATTTGCAACCCAGGGTCGTATCCTCCGAGTTCCCAAAACCATTCTGCACTGATGGCGAACAAACCGCCAGCCATTACGGGGCTCCTGTGAAGAAAATAAACATTGATTAACGCCGATCACAACGTCAAAAATGGGCTCAATTGTAATTTTTCCGTGTAATATACACTCACTTGAAAGGTTTAGGCATGTTTTTCTCGTCTTCCGGAAGAACAGGGAGTCTTTTGTAGGAAAACTTCCAGTCGAACGCGCCTCTCGCTCCTTCGTCTTGCGCAGTGTACTCAAAAGTTTCGAAGTCGATCACGTCGATGAATGGACAGACGACGGTTCTCTTGTCCTCGGCAATCGGATCTGTATAAACAGGATTCATTCCATCATTTCAATATTTTGTCTCAATAATGAAGCAGCCGTGGACTCTCTCATCAACAACGAAATTGAAGAGACCAGAAAACAATTGTCAAATAGAAAGGTTTTTGTTGCAGCGAACCTCTATACATAACCGAGGCTGAGAAATCAGCTGGATGCTTCGGAAAAAATTTAAAGTGTTATATTCATCACGTTAGGAGTAAATCAGGTGGAATTCGGTTTTCAACGCAGCAGAAAATTCACCGTCATCATCTCACCCAACAAAGGAGGCAGCCAATTAACATTCGCTTCCGAGTGCGAATCCAGAAAGATTATCACATTTCCTTTGGCAACTTTCGCTCCGGCCAATCGGGCCAGAATCAATCCCGATCGCTGCTTCAACCGAACGATCCGCACTTTCGGCAAATGCGCAGGTTGCATCAGCAGGTCCCCAAAGAACGTTTATAGGAAGCTTGACTTCAGCAGCTGCTCTTACTGAAGGAACTAGTCGAGCCCACCCCTAGCTAAATAGTGTCTTTACCGCCAGGAGTTGTCTCACCTTAAATGCTCATTGTGGAATGGCACAACCACGCTCGCCGTGGGCAGGTGTTTCCTGTACTGCAGTTTTTTGCATCTGAAATTTTACAACAAAAAAAGATCCCACCAGATCAGTAGAGTCGTAGTGATTACCGGAGCCGAGGTATACTGCGACATCTAGCCGCAATAAAAAGGAAACTAGACTGCGCTCCTCCGTAGCCCCAATAAGATGCCGCATAATTCATAATTCCTGAAATTCCGTGGCTGCAACTTGCCGTACTGAACAACAATGGAAAATTTTATATTTCTGCAAACCATATGTTTTCATTCTGAGTATTCCCAACTTAAAGGTTCAAACTGAGGTATGAAATCGGACAATTCCATTATTCGCAAGGTAAATTGACGGGCATTTAAAACTGTTGTCGGAATCAAGGCTTGGAAGATATTTTTGATCGTTTATTATACGAGCATATAACTTGATCTAAAAATGATGTCCAATTCTGTTACTAACGTGGAAAATTTAGAACATTGCTATGAAAAACTCACCGATTGTCCTTGCGAGGCAAAACTCGCAATACTGTACTACATTATTTATGAATTTAATAAAGAAATCTATTATATGATACTGTATTATGATATTACAGTATCATGATTACTGAAGAGTCTGTGATATTCAATTGAAATTTGAAACTAGTCGTATAAAATATTTGAGATCGAACTCCCTTTAGTGTGCAAAGTGTATTGTTATAGGACTCTTTACAAATGCGTTTTTTTTTCTTAAAAACGGGTCGGGATATATGAACGAAATTTTTTTTTTTAAAGAAATTTGAGAGAGAGATTGAACTTTCAGGAAATACAAAAAATGTTGCAGAAATGTCAGAGAAAATATTTTTATTTGTACATTCTTTGTAAAATTTTCCTTCATTTCCTGAGCTATATCTCTCTCTCCTCTAAGTTCTATAATTAATTCAAAAATTAAACAAAGTACTGTATATTTTATCAATTAATTTGTAAAGCCGCTGCCGTAAGGTTCCAATTTCTAGCAGACGTTATTCTTCTTTTGATTAAAACCTCAAAGGTACGGTAATTGCCTGAACTCGGATTTAAATTTACTCTAATAAATAAAAGCAACAAAACAAGCAGGTGTGTTATTTTGGGCTGCATATATATGTAGCCTTACATTAATGCAAATGAGATTCGATTATATGACGGTACGGTTGACGTCTTCGGCATTCTATTGTGTTATGGAAGTTTACTTAATCAGCATATTTTATAAACTCTAGCTTGAGGGAAATCACACGTTTCACATAACAATATCCTGAGAAATGTTTACGCAAAAAAAAAGAATTTTTGCCCAGCCCTATATACTTGCTTTAAAAAAAAAAAGAAATTTGAGAGAGAGATTGAACTTTCAGGAAATACAAAAAATGTTGCAGAAATGTCAGAGAAAATATTTTTATTTGTACATTCTTTGTAAAATGTTTCTTCATTTCCTGAGCTCAATCTCTCTCACCTGCTCTAAGTTCTATAATTAATTCAAAAATTAAATGAAGTACTGTATATTTTATCAATTAATTTGTGAAGCCGCTGCCATAAGGTTCCAATTTCTAGCAGACGTTATTCTTCTTTTAATTAAAACCTCAAAGGTAGGGTAATTGCCTGAACTCGGAGTTTAATTTACTCTAATAAATAAAAGCAGCAAAACAAGCAGGTGTGTTATTTTGGGCTGCATATATATGTAGCCTTACATTAATGCAAATGAGATTCGATTATATGACGGTACGGTTGACGTCTTCGGCATTCTATTGTGTTATGGAAGTTTACTTTGATTTATGTACTATACCCACCATAATCAATCCTCAACAGGAGGTGTACGTTTTTCCATTAATTACACAGCCTTTATATATATTGACTTGCAGCATTTGCATAATTTGTACTCACGTACCCTTCGTGTCTAATGTCGGGCAAACTTCGGTCTAAGGCAATTTGGTCAGAAGCCAATGCGTTGAAGCCATTGACCCCGTAAACGGCTTCTTTTTCCGGAGAATCCATTGTAAAAACTCGCGTTCCATTTTCTCCATTACCTGTAAAATTAAAAATACAATAAAAGAAATATATTTAATGTATGATCCTTATTTTATGCAAGAAACCCAGACAATTTCTCTCACCTGTTCTTTCGGATTCGGCCCTGATTTGATCGTAATCATGCCAGTCTTTTCTCTCTTCCTCGTTTTGTTCTCGCAATAATGACCGCTGCACCTGCTGATGGAAAGTCGTGAAATCATTCAAATTTTAATTGATCGAGGTGTTTTTGTTTCCCAATAATTATTTGAAACTCACTGCATTCAACAAGATGTCGCCAACTACTTCCTTTTCTCGTCCGGAATCTCTCATCTGTTTCACGATAAATGTCAAAGCAGCAAGTATTGCGAAAAAGGCTAAAAATACTTGACCTCGTTTTTTCCACCAACGCTGGACTTTTACAAGCAGTTTGACCATTATATATTGCGGTGCCTGTATAATATAAATTTAATCATAAGAGAGCTTATTCAGGAATGAATCACACCAATTTTCTAATCGCCTTTACCATAAAATAAACCAACGCTCATTAAATATATGTGCTCATTTATTATGAGAACGAACGTATGTACATTTGAAAATTAAGCACAGTTAAAATCTTCCCCATTAAATGTAAAATATATAGAAAAGCCAAGCTTTAAATTCGAATAGAATGCTCATTGTCGCAATGTAGTGATGAAAAAAGGCTCGCTCATCACCATAATGCATGCTGACTTCCGAGCGATTTGTCAAAATCTGAAAATTCTCAGAATTTTAGCCAAAAAACTTTTTGTTTTTGCAACTTTGTTCCAACACATGCCATATCATAGCATATTTCACAGCATTCTACAACGTATACAGCAGTACAGAAGGAAATTGTTCTTACAGTGCTCGTGTATAAGAAATATGAGCGCGGTTTTTTGGCAAATTCATCTCGCGTTTTCCTATTTCCTGACAATTAAAAATAGTCTTATTTTCTTCCTCGAGCAGAAATTGAATTTTTAATACTTCGAAAATGTATTCGGTTTTACTCGAACAAGATATGAATGACAGAACGTGCGGATTTAATTTCCTCTAATATACCTGTAGTATTCGCGGCGGATGATGTGTGATTGGAAAAATCTTCGACTTCCACTACATTGCTTGAAATTTTCAATTTCTTCTTTATGAAAGAGTGATCTGAGATTAATCGAAAATTCCACGTCTTCCTGGGACAGAACTTAATCTGCTAGATTAACAAGTTTAAATATTTAAATACGCATCTGTATACAGTAAAGTACTACATACAGTACATGCAAGATCCTTCTGTGATGTTTTCAGCATCCAAGCAGCAGAATTAAATGAATCTTTTATAAATCATACCATCAGGAGAAAGCCCATTCCATACGACCACTTTAAAATCGGCAGAGAACAATCAATACTTCAGGCTTGCATGAAGGGATTGCTGATTTGAAACCAACCAAATTTTGCGTTTCACTCTCAGCTTTCACAACATTTATTATGGTACACACAGAAAAAAAACAATTGTATACGTTGTAAATTTGCCAACAGTCCAGATTTAGGCTGTTATTAACCTGTGAACGTATACAATATTTGCACATCAAATACAGTATAAGCAATGTGCTGGCAGCACTTTTGTATGCCTGCAGTTCTGCAGGTGAAGAAAATGATTCATCTTTGGTATTTACAGTACATGAATACTTCAATTCTACACAGTACTACATGTAGTAAGCACTACATACATAATTACCTGTTTACAGCACTGATGCCATTTGAACACAATTTATATTCTCACTGCCAGAATGCCATTCACACTTGCTTTATTTTCTCTGAATCAAGGAACTAGTTTCTTGTTTGCTTCCAAGTTGAAGCAAATCTCATCATACAGTAGAATTGTGTTACAACAAATTATTTGGCACCCTAAAAAGCTTTGATTCCAACAAAAATTAGTTGAAATGATTTTGAAATAGCATTGTGGCTTTTGGGCAGTAACTGAAAGAACAAATTTGTTGTGGTATTCAGTTTACCAAAATGTTACAGTAAAATATTGCTGGTTAAAAATTGTTTTGCTGGTTTTTGCCAAATAGCAATACTGTAATGTTATTCATATTCCTCCATTAGAACAAAGCTTTTTTCCTGTCCCAACGCTTTTGTTGTAACAAGTTGTAACCTGCCAATTTTATTGCAGGGCAGCCAGTGTTACTTCAGCTTCATCACTTCCTCCTGCAAATGTTTCACTGACTCACTCACTCACATTTCAGAAATTATACCTTCAAGTAGGAGTCATCCATTTCAACGCTAGATACAGTGAAAGAATTTTCTTTCAAGACCATTCCTTTATTTGACACTGCAAATAATCCATCAATATAGCACAAAAACTCCCTGAACATTGATGCCACTTCCCACTGACTGTCTCCATTTGTTCAATCAAGAGACGAATTAAACGCGATAAAACCCACAACTGATTCTCAACACAAACATCGAATCGTTCCAGTCAAAACGGAGAAACAATATCAAGTTATCCCTGATGAGAACGCTCCACTTTACAGACGGCGCAATAATCACCAAAAATCTCATCGCAAACACAGCAACACTTCATTGGCACCGTAACACAAAACGTGAAAGAAGCACGCGATACAGTATTCGCGTGAAACAAAGAATGCAACCGAAACAATGCATCACAATATCCGCGATCCAAGGTAACACGCTTTTGAACAGCAGAGCCGACGCACTTCTCCTTTTCCCGGACGGCATGGAATCACAGTTTCATCGTTGGAATAAGGCCACGACACTCGTCAAAGAATCTCATAGTTCAATTTTTTTTTT